GTTTTTATAAAACTGTTTTATATATAACTGTTTTTATATAAAACTATATTTTATATCAAACTGTTTTTATATAAAACTGTTTTTATATAAAACTGTTTTTATAAAATTCTTTTATATAAAACTGTTTTTTATATAAAACCGTTTATATAAAACTGTTTTTATATAAAACTGTTTTTATATAAAACTGTTTTTATATAAAACTGTTTTTATATAAAACTGTTTTTATAAAACTGTTTTTATAAAACTGTTTATATATAACTGTTTTATATATAACTGTTTTTATATAAAACTTTATTTTATATAAAACTGTTTTTATATAAAACTGTTTTTATATAAAACTGTTTTTATAAAACTCTTTTATATAAAACTGTTTTTTATATAAAACTGTTTTTTATAACACTGTTTTTATATAAAACTGTTTTTGATAAGTCGAACTATTTTTTATTGTAGTAAAATGATTTTTATAATTTCCTTATATAAAGTATATATGTCCCCTCATGTAAACTTGCAAAAGTTTAACATGTTACCTTAAAGGCTAAGAAAAATGTATTGTATCAAAGTTATAAAAAATTAATTTAAAATATATCGACCCCTCATATTAGACTTATACACAGTTTAATATGTTACCTTAAAGACTAATCAATTCAAAAATGTATTTATCAAAGTTACAAAAAAATCTTATCTTCTATTATAATTACACTAACATTTAAAAATATAAATTAATATATTTTAGATGAGCAATGAACAATCAACCTCGCGTACCCGCCCAAACTATGTGCCCTTAACCGAAGCTGAGCGCAACAATGAAAATGCGCTTTGGGTGACGCCCCACATGGTTGCGAAGTAAGTAACTATGAATTTTATCTAACGTGAAATAATTTTTTCAATGTATCATAATGTAATCAAAACTTTAATAAATAAATAATATTAATTTTCTGAAGCGATCAAGAAGTGTTGGACCAAATCAAAGTCATAATTGGAGGACACTTTCTTGGAAACTGGGCTACATACACAGAAGTAGACCCCAAGGTTCGTGAACTTTGGTGGAACCTTTTCAAGGTAAGAAAAATGAATTTTCTCTGCGTAATTGTATTAACGTAACATTTGATAAAAGATAAATTAATTTATTTGTTTTTTTATAAAGGGTCGGTTTCGATGGACTGAAGCCCAAGGTCCAGCTATTCTTAGAGCGTATAATGCTAGGATTTCAAATTGGCTTCGTCCTACTTTTAGGCGTGCCCGAACGAGCGGGGTAAAGCCTGGATGGTGTTCGGATGAGGTGTGGGCTAACCTCGTCCGTCACTGGTCTTCTGATCCAAACTTCTTGGCAAGAAGTCAATCCGGTAAGAAAAACCGGATGTCCGAGAAAGCCTTAGAAACCCAATGGCATGGGGGCCGCAAACCTCAGAGTAGACATAAAGAAGATCTTGTAAGTATTTTTCAAAAAACTTCACACAATTACAACCCTTTATTTTAACAATTAATTATGGATCTTAAGCCTTTTTTCCAAATTGTAGTCGGGGCCTGAGAAGAAGAAGGTCTCAATTCTCAAGGTCATCAAGCACTGCTGGACAAAGCACGGCGATGAGTCCGATGCCGATCTGCCACCCCGCCTCGCTGAAATCGAAATAAGTAACACTATTTTGTTACTTATTTCCATTCAAAATCAAATTGAGTAACATTAAATTAACAATTTTTGTACATGTAGTCAAAGTATAACACAAATGTTGAGAAGAGGCGGGCAGAATTAGGCTTGACTCAGGAGGATGAGATTGATTCTGATGTGGAGGATGATGCCATCTTTGAGGCAGTTGGGGTGTACAAGGGCCGGGTCCCGTGCATGGGGGCTGAGGGGCAACGGATCTTGTATGACCGCAGCGGTGCTTCATCTTCCCGATCAAGGCGCGGAGAGGATCCGCGTATCGCTCAAATGCAGCGGGAGATGGAGGAGCAGCAGCGGGCCTTGGCTGAGCAGCAGCGCACCTTGGAGGAGCAACGCAAAAAAGAAGAAACAAGGGCCCGACTGGAAGAGATGGAACGGATCCTCAGCGCCGGAATTCGGAATCAGCCTCAGCCTCAGCCTCAGCCGTATGTACTGCACCCTGAGCAGACACCTCAAGTTCCGCACATGGGCGGTTATTTCCGTACCAACTCTGCTACCGGGTTGCCTTCATTTGGTTCTTTTCAGGATATCAATTTTCACAACCTGTTTCAAACATCTGGAGGCAGCCAAGCGGGTGGCAGTCGCGGAGGTGGCAGTCGCGGAGGTGGCAGTCGCGGAGGAGGCAGTCGCGGTGACAACCGAGAAGATGAGACCGAAGAAGATTATCTATATGATGATTCTAGATATTATCATAATGGTAACCGGAGGAGCTTGTAATTATACATTTTTATTTGAACATTGTTTATTTACTATAATTTTATTGTGCTTATTATTACTTTTATTTCAGTCTGTTTGGTTATGAAATGTGTGTTCTAGTAGTCTGTTTATTACTTTTATTCTACAAATATTTTTTAAAATAAACTTTTCTAAAAAATAATTAAAAAAAATTTTATTTTTTTATAAAACAAAAAAACTTTTTTTTTAAAAATAAAAAACTTTAGTCACGGATCCGAGCCGTGACTAAATTCTAGACCGATTTTTAGAAAAGTTATTTTGCAAATTTAATTTTTTTTAAAAAATAAAAAAGTAGTCACGGATCAAGTCCGTGACTAAAATTTGAAATTTGAAAATTTAAACAGTAACATTTGGCGGTTAATTTTTTTAAATTTGAAAATTTAGTCACGGATTAGTCCGTGACTATATTTAGTCACGAAAAAGGCCGTGACTAAGTCGCCGGTGTGGTTATTCCGGTGACAAGTTAGTCACGGAAACGGTCCGTGACTAAGCCGTGACTACTCTAAATCACGGATAAAATGACCGTGACTAGAATTAGTCACGCCCAAACAGTCACGGATTTAGTCACGGACAAAGTCCGTGACTAGCAAACTTAGTCACGGATTTTTTATACTGCGGTCCGTGACTAAATCCGTGACTAACTCCGTGTTTTTTTGTAGTGCACACCCAATTTGATAATATTTGTATGATTCAAAATCATTACATTCTTACTTTAGTTCCATTTTGTCAAGTTATTATCAACTACATAAATTCACTTTTCTTGGCTACCACTTCACTTTCTTTTGTACCAATGTTAGGTTGAGTTTTCTAATCAGGTTACCTATCTTACGCAAAAATATTTTAGGGCCCGTTTGGTAACTCATTTTTCAGCTTATCAATCTTATCAGTCATTTTTTTTACCAAATACATAACTTTTGATTTCCTGCGCTTGATTGTGCAATAATAAAAATAATAGGTAAGATTGAAATTTATTTTCTGAATGAATTGATTGATCTTACTGTAGAGGAAATTTTTTAGATATTTTATATGTAATTTTTTCTTTAATATATTAATAAAATATATATTAAATATCACCTTTCTTTAATGCAACATATTCAGACATTTTAGCGGATCAGTCAACATTTCATCAATTTTAATATATTTAGCCTATTCAACCCATTTATGTATTACCAAAGGGTCTCAAAATTTATTAAAAGAGTAAAGTCGACGGTTCTACTATTTCTATTTCTTGCTTGAGAAAGATAGAAAAAAAGACATCTATACTCATAATACCTTGTTATGTAGTATATTTGTTAAGCAAAAAAAGGTTTGACGACTAAGGAAAAGATTAGAGCAAGGGAAAAAAATAGAAACGTGCTGCTATTGTGGGATATAATTGAACATCAACTATTTCATATTCTTTTTTTTTTTTGTGCCACTACAAAAAAGTAAAATACGGAGTACTACTTCAAATTATGTGCCGCAAATTCAACAGGACGATCTGCCGCAAAGCAAAGCTAGTCACCTCCAAAAATTGTTTGCCGACAAAGAACCTGAACACGCAACTAAAACTTTACAGGAAATCTCAACAAAATAAAAAGCGGCAGTATGAGAACTAGATCGCAGCCTAGAGATTTCCCTTGGGTCTAGTTTTGTCTTTTAATTTATTTATTTTGTTTCCTTTTTTTCCTGTGTTTTCTCCTTTTATTTGACTTCGTGTCTTCGTGTCCTGTACTTTTTATTATTATGAATAAAATGTTCTTTCTTTAAAAAAAAAAAAGCAAACCCGTCACATGCAATAGTGCAAACAGTCAGACTAACAAATTTTGTTTCAACTGACAGAAGTGTTAGAAACATGAATTAACAAAATTAATTATTTCATCAAATTTCCAACAAGGAGTTCCATAAAAAATGTATCTTTTGCTAATAATTAGGAATATTATTTTCTTTGATTTTAGGTAGTACTTTTTAAATATCATTCTTTTTCAAATACTACCGACTTATAATATTCATCAATATTTATATAATTTCTAAGATCAATAACTTCTCAAAAGGTGAAACAAACGCAATCACTTCTTCAAAGTTCATATATAACCGCTTAATAAACATAAATACATATCTTAATGGTATATAGTGCATATATGAGGTTTATGATTCATTAAGAAAAGTAGAACCAATACAAATGGCAAGTAGAAACAATTGAATAATACGCTTCTTTCTTTAAGGATATCAGGATATGTTTGGGAATTGAGTTTTGGAAGGGAGCGGATGGTTGACAAGGGTTTATGACCCTCCCTTTCATATTTGGGAGTTCAAAAAATATGGTGGGATGATTTTGGAGGGCTCTTGTAACCCTCCAATACCCTTCAAAATTCAAATGTTTAATTTTCAAGTTATCCCAAATTGGGTGATTTTGAAAGATCACTAATTAAATGGAAATTTTAGCTCAATTTTAACCCGAACAAGAAGAAGGGTTTCCAACACTTTCCCTCTCATTCCCTTGCAATGAATAACCTTCAAAACCCTCTACTCCCATTCCCTTCAAACTCCCAAACATACCCTAAAGGAATTGAGCAAAGTTTTTTTATGACCCGAAATGAAGAATGAAAAGAAAAACTTAAGACACATGAAACATTGTTGTTTATATATTACTCCAAAACAAAGAACTTGGCCCACATCAAACAAGTTACTTAGTCTAACTGCCTAACAATGGTGCCTTAATATTTAAGAGTTTGATACCCAACCTAGGAAAGTTTTCTAAGAGGTTCACAATATGGGTCGGTTTGAGCCGAATTCAGGAGGCACTGCTGCAGATGCTGAGCATATACTGACGGCTTCTCAGGTGCAGAAACATCAACACTACTGATTGGAATTTTGCCAGTTAGGATCTTCACAGCAAATTCGATACATGGATCTGCTGCCCATATGCCTCCTCCAACATCACCAAATGCAGCCATTTCTGCCCCAGAAGAAGAGAACTGGCGATTTGCAGCAGATGAACTGAGGGAGGACTGTGGGGTTGTATCCTCCGCTCTCTTCTCTCCTCCTATGCATGGGATTTCACCCTTTAGAGTTCTTATGGCAAATTCTATGCATGGTTTCATCCAAATTTCCTTCATCAGTAATGATGAAGATGATAATGGTTTAGGAGAAAGAAGCTTCCCCAGGAGAGAAGAGGCATCTTCTTGTTTCTTTTCATTCCCAGGGGTATCCACCATGGAAATACCAGTAATGCCAGCTTTTGTTTGACCCTTCTGCCATGCGAAGCTAAGCTTTGATGACTACTTATTTTCAGCTCCAAGGAAGGGTCAGCTTTAATGCCAGCAAGGCGCTTGGAAACTCTGATGGGTAAGTGGAATCCTTTGCTCTCACCCAACGTGTTCTTTCTACTTGGAATGATTTTATGTCCAAGTTTTTCCTGCATCTATTCATTTTCTTTGGCTATATGATCCACAACAAGTTGGCATTCTTCACGTGCTACAAAGACTAAAAAATGTCAAAATAAGCACTAAAGTTGTACTGCTTCATTTCTACTAAAGATTGTCCTAGTCTTTGATGACAAAGAATAACAAGAGGGCTAGACCAGTAGGGCTGGACCCGTTCCAGCTCATGTTCAGGATAGGTCGGTTCTGGGTCAGATAAGCACGGTATACCCAGTCCAGTCCTGCTCCAGCTTCTTAGCCTATTTAAAAAGCGGAACTGAACCCATCCAGTCCTATTCTGGAGAAACCGCAGGACCAGTTTTTGAACTCATTCTTGTCTTGAACTGGGAAACCAATTCGGGCTCTGGGACAAAAACTGCACAGTCCCAGCCCAGCTCTGGAACCAGTCTACCAGCACAAGGTCCATTCTTGTCATTCATCTTCATATTTAGGTCATTTTCTTTTTTAGTCCCTCCCTATTGAAGATGTAAATACTAACAACGTAAATTAGACAGAGGGTATTACTAACAACGTAAATTAGAGGGGCATGTAGAAAAATGTTTTTAGAGGAACTTGGGAAAAGCATGCAGGTCTGAAAAGCTTGTATAAGCCTCAAATTGTTTATGTGGTACCCCAAAAGTTTAGAGATTTACCGTGGTGGTGGCAAATGCTTGCAGGGGGTGGTGAGATGCAACATTCGGTACTGAAGGGCATTACAATTTTTTCTTCCTTGCCAACTGACTCGAAACTCCCATGCACAACGAGATGTTCATGATCTGCTTTGTTTTCAGCCGCTTTTAGTACTTCACCTTCAGAAGGTAACTGACAAAAATAGTCCAAAGAAACATTTATAATCTTGATGAAAGAAAGACACCATTGGAAGTAACAAATTCTAAGCATAATGATAAAGTGGTATGAAGAGCACGTATACATGATCTTGTACCAGGCCAACTTCAGGAAAAGGGAAAAGAGGAGGAGCCAAGGCTGGGTGATAATATAAGTTCTATGATTCGAATATGAGAAAACAACAAGAGAAGCCTAGATGAGCTTAATCAGTGCCTGGCCTAATCAAACACACAAGAATTAATTCAAAACCAACTTTGTTAAGTAAAACTGAAGACCATATATAGCTACTAGAAGAATCCTTTTTATAAAATGACACACAACTAACTAATTTGAATTTAACTTCAACTGGAACTATGATATAACAAGGTTAACAGAATCAAGACTGTGTTGCTTGGCCCACATCACATGTCAGTCTGGGTTAATTGGATGAACCAATTAGCCACTTCCGCTGCTTCTCTCTGCCAATAACTATTCCCCAAGAAACCCACGTCAAGTGGTGGTTGCCTTCAGTTCGTAAGGAGTACAGTTTTCAAGTAAGATGACTATCAGTTTTGTAAGAACAAATTGACAAAGAACAAACTATATTATAAGAATCCAAGGGAAACCCGAAGTTGGTGCAGATCTAAATTCTTGTCAAGATGTCTTTATTGAGAAAGAAATTTGATATAAAAAGGTACACAGAGATTGGTGTACTAAAGACAAGGCCATTCAGAAATACAGGGTCGTCTTGTCTATGCTCAAATAACTGATAAGAAATGAGTCTCTCACTCTCTCTTAGCTCTTGTTTGGATAAATATTTTTTGTTATGATTAAAAATATAATCCTTCTGTCCTAAAATTATCTCCTAGTTTTGAGTTGGCATAGTTGTCAAGTGATATTGTTAAATTGTGGTTTAGATCAAATGGAGAAAAACAATATCAACCATTCAACCATATAATCTTTCCTTAAAAGAAATGGGAAGTTAATGTTGGAAGTTGGAACATTCCAAAAAAGAAAGTGGAAAGAAAACTATTGGACACAGGAAGTATTAATCTGCATTTATAACTACAAAGCCACAATAATGTAAAACGGTTTCTGGAAAAGAATTTAAAGCAATGAAATAACTCCCATACAATCCGTTAAATGTGGAACTAAATCTTCTATGCCACATTTTGTGTGCCACCCGCTTTGATCGGTTGAAATAACTTCCACTTGTTTATTATATTTATTAATTAATAGCCATTGATCAATCAATATAAGTGGTACAAATGTGGTTCAGAAGATTTGAACCCCAAATCAAGAGTGTGATAAGAAGAGTTTAGACTTTTGAGGTTTTAAAGCTCTTCATCTCAGCCCCCCAAGCCCATACTTCTCCCATGTAACACCCTCAAGTCCTCCCCACTATCCTCCCCTGCCCCCCCTGAACTCCTCCATCCAATCAAAGGCTTAAGCTAATCACATACTTTTATATTCCATATGGAAAAATGAACATCTACATGATAGTGATAAGTATCTGTGAGAATTTTCCATTTGGATAGCTTAACAAGAACCGACCTAACATGTAAGGTTTTACACTACTACGGTGATACCTAACATGTAACATAACCACTATTATAGAGTGTTCGGCAACATAAAAAAGCTAAATGGGCCCATACACTTACAGATGAAAGAAAACCTGCAGCTTGCATGTTGTTGAGATCTTGATCATTCAAGACAAGTTCAGTCTTATACCAACAATCACTAGTTTCAAGGCAGCAAAAAACTTCCTTCTAAGAGCGGAAGACTTGCCCACTCTCAGGATGAACATAATACTGTGCAAGTAGTAATACATTAATGAATATATATATATATATATAATTAAATCAATAAGTAAGTAAAAAGAAGAAAAAGAAAAAGTAAAGTAGCTAAACAAGGACCACAGATTAAAACAAATAAGAAAATGAGAGACCATGTGTAGGATTAAGTTACCCAGCCTTTCCTAGTCTGGCCACCCTTCTTCATTTCCTTGGTCCACCCTGGAGGTAAGCCCGGAGCTACAGATTTCTTAACAGAAAAATATTTTTTTGCAAATATATATGTAGTATGTGTGTGTGAAATTAATAATACTACCTCCATCCCTTTTATATTGGGACGGAAGAGGGTGACACGATTATTAAGAAAAGGGTGTTTGTGTGGTTGATATTAATTGATAAAGTAAGAATAAAGTGAGAAGGATTTCAAGCCACACAAACTTTACCAAATATGGTATGGAACAATTTTAGTGGGATTTCCCGAAAAGGTAAAATGAGACAATATTAGGGGGACGGAGGGAGTATAACATACGAAGCATGTTAAAAGGACCCGAAAAAACCATCTGTAATTGATATCTTTTACCTTTTGTCCACTTCCTTTCTTCATCATCACCTTGCTGATAAGCTTGATAATTTCCACCTTCCATAAACAATTAAATTTGTTGAAGGGGTCAAATTAACAGTATAAAAAACAAGAAACGCATTATTTAGATAGTTAGATATACAATGTGGTAGTTTCCCTTATAAACAAAGAAGAAAAGGAAAGAAACTAAATGTCTCTTTTCATCATTTAATACAGAGAAGAAGAAAAGGAAAGAAACTAAATTGTTTCTCGTTTTCATCATTTAAACGGAAAAGAACAAAAGGATAAAAACTAGATTGTTTCTCTTTTATTTAATAGAGTAATCCGTATTGAGATTGAAAAATCGGGAGGTTTTTAATAAACCTACATAGAAGAAGTTATTAAGCCTTTGACATGAAAATTTTAAATCTAGTGTTTCTCTTTACCAACTTATTGTTTCTCTTATATAAGAAATAGAGAACCCTCCCCCAGAAAATACTACATTGAAAATTTATATACTTAATCCCAAAATAAAGAGAGTTGGCTAAGCAAAATTACAAATGCAGGGGCATAAGTACTTGTGTACAGTGGAAAATGAACTTCCAATCATGTCTTGACCATTGTGGCTATTTCTTACCACATACATATAACATATTTTATATATGTAGTTATTTTTCTCACTAGACTCACTCTTGTGTAGTTAAGTTGAACCAAACTGACCTAGGGAACATGCAAGAGTCTGGTGGCTTTGGGATGAGGATGGATAAAATCAAATTTTGTAACAAGCAAACCCGTCAATTGCAATGGGGCAACCAGTCAGACTAATGTGTCGGGGTGAAGTTACTTAGAACAAATTCTGCTTCAAACTGACAGAAGTGTTAGAAATACGGACTCAGACCTATCAAAATCAACATTTTCATCATAGTCCACCAAGGAGTTCAATAAAAAAACTGAATATGTTGCTAAGAATTATTACTAACATGCATGAATATTATTATATTTGATGATCGACAGCAATCCACTAGAAGAAACACAATAGTCACTAGCCCACTCAATCATAAATTCCTAACGGTAAATCCACTAATTAATCTGGAAAATTCTACAATTTTCTAACTTTTAATTTTCAAAATCAATTTTTTATTCAAACACGACCAACTTCTACTATTAATCACTTATCATATAATCTCTAATTTAGATCACTTCTCAAAAGTAGAAGCAAACACAAACATTCCTTTAGAGATTACCTTTAATAAACATAAATACATGTATTCATGGGATAAAGTGAATTTGTGAGATTTATGATTCATTTACAGAAGTAAAAACAATTCAATAATACGCTCCTTACATAAAAGAAAATGAAAAAAGTTTTCCTAAATGATTTCGGTGAGATCATGAGTAAAAGTATTCTACACCAAAAAAAGAACTCTGTCCACAACAAACTATTATCACAAGTTTCACTGTCAACTGCCTAACAACAGTGTCTTGAATTTGAAGAGAGAACATGTACAAATACTCTCCATCTCCTGCAATCAATGGCCACACATTGAAACATAACTAGCACTTGCTCTAAAGAGTTACAACAGTCTTGTGCCCAACCTAGGAGAGTTTTCGAAGGGGTTCACAACATGGGTTGGTTTGAGCCGAACTTAGTTACCCAGCAGTTATGGTGTCATGCAGAAGGAGGGGGAGGGGGAGGCCCCTTCTGTGGCCGCCGAACGTATTCTGATGGCTTCACAAATGCCGAAAAATCAATGCTGCTGAGTGGAATTTCGTCAGTAAGGATCTTCACAGCAAATTCAATGCATGGATCTGCGAATATGCCTCTACCACCACCAAATGCCGCCATTTCCGCCCCAAAAGAAGACGACTGGCGATTCACAGCAGATGAACTAAGGGAGGACTGTGGGGTTGTCTCCTCCACTCTCTTCACTTCTTCTCCCATGCATGGAATTTCACCAGTCAAAGTTTTGATGGCAAATTCTATGCATGGATCGCTCCAAATATCCTTCATCTGTAATGATGGAGATGATGATGATTCAAAGGAAATAAGCTTTCCCAGGGAGGAAGAGTCACCTTCTTGTTTCTTTACGCTCCCGGGGGTATCCTCTATGGAAATATCAGTAATTCCATCTTTTGTTTGACCCTCCTGCCTTGCAACAGCTAGTCCTTGATGACTATTCATTTTCTGTTCCAACAAAGGGTTGTCTTTAATGCCAGCAAGGCGCTTGGAAACTCTGATGGGTAAATGGGGCCTTTTGCTCTCACGCAACTTGTTCTTTCTACTAAGAATGGTTTTGTTTCCAAGTTTTTCTTCCACCTCTGCATTTTCTTTGTCTATATGATCTGCACCAAGTTGGCATTCAGCAGATTTCCCATCCTCGTTATTTACTTTGACCATGTTACTGCTCTCCATTACTGAATCTTCTTCACGTGCTACGAAGACTAAAAAATCTCAAAATAAGCATGACAGTTATATTGCTTTATTTCTCCTGAAATTTGTCCTTATAATCTTTCATGACAAAAAAATTAATAAGAGGGTTAAAAAAGTTTTCTGTAGGGCTGAACCCGGCCAGCTCATGTTCTGGACAGGTCAGTTCTGGGCATGCAAAGGTTGGAACTGGGACTAGAAACAGGTATACCCGGTGCAAACCTGGTCCAGCTTCTTAGACTATTTAAAAAGTGGAAAGGGACCAGTCAATGACTCAATTCCCATTTTTGAGAAACCAGGACCGGATTTTGAACTCATTCATGTGCTTTTAACTAGGAAACCGATTCGGTCTCTGGGAGAAAAACGGCCAGTCCTGGCCCAGCTCCGGAACCAGCACAGGGACCATTACTATGTGCCAGTATTTGCAATTCTTTGTCATTCAAGCTTATATTTGGGTCATTTTCTTTTTAAGTCCCTCCCTACTGAAGATGTAAATAATAACAGCGTAAATTTGAGGGACAGGTGGAAAGACAAGTTTTTAAGAGGAACTTAGTAAAAAATGCAGATCTATGAAACATATTTAAGCCTCAGATTATTTATTTGGTAGCAAAAGTTGAGAGATTTACAGTGGTGACAAGTGATTGCAGAGGGTGGTGAGGTGCAACATTCTGTGCTGATGGGCATCACGACTTTCTCTTCCTTGCCAACCAACTCGAGATTCTCATCAACACCAAGCTGTTCATCATCTGCTTTGCTTTCTACTGCTTTTAGTTCTTCACCTTCAAAAGGTAGCTAGGGAAGGACAAAAAATGGTCCAAAGGAACATTTAAAAAGCTTGATGAAAGAACAGCACCATTGGAAGTAACAAATTCAAAACATAATGATATAGTGGTATTATGAGCACACATTCACGATATCGGCCCAGGCCGCGTTCGGGATAAGGGAAAAGAGTTGGAGCCAAGACTAAAGAATACTAAAGGTTCTATGATTTGAACATGATAAAACAACAAGAGAAGCCTACAGGAGCTCAATCAGTACCTGGCTTAGTCAAAGACACAAGTAATTCAAAATGTACTTTGTTAAAATAAACTGAAGACCCTATATAGCTATTAGAAGAGTCCTTATAAGAGGAAACATAATAGAATTAATTAGAATTTACTACAACTGAAAATAGGAAATAACAAGGTTACAGAATCAAGAGTACGTTGTTAGGCCCGCAAGTCAGTCTTGGTGATCTGGACGGCCCATATAGCCACTTTCGCTGCTTCCCTCTGGCAATAACTATGCCCCAAGAACGCGAGGTAGTTACCTTTAATTGGTAAGGAGTACAATTTTCAAAGTAAAATGAGTTTATTAGGTTTGTAAAAAAGAAACTATATTATATGAGTGCAAAGGAACCTGAAGTTGGTGCAGATCTAAAATTGTCAAGACGTCTTTATTTAGAAAGAAATTAGATATAAAGGTCATTTCTAATACAGGATCATCTTCTCTATATCAAGAATGTGTCAAACTCATAAGGAATAAGTTTCTCTTAGATCTTGTTTGGTTCAAAAAAGGGAGAGAGGAGGGGAGGAGAAAAGAGGGAGCAGTGGAGAGAAATTATTATTTTGGAAAAATATCTTTTGGTATGATTAAGAATTCTCTTTGTCCTAAAATTATCTTCCCATTTTGAGTTGACCAACTTGTTAATTAAGTGATATTGTAACACTGTGGATTAGGTCAAAAGGAGATAAAAAAAAATCAACCATGCAATCTTCCCTTAGAGAAATGGGAAGAAATTGTTGGAACATTCTAGAAAAGAAAGTGGAAACTAAACTATAGGACAGAGGGAGTATTAATCTACATTTATAAAATTATAACTATTATAATGTAAAACAATTTCAGTAAAAGAACTTGAGAAGTGAAAGAGGTCCCCTACAATCCACAGATTGTAGAACTCAAATCCTCTAAGCCACATTTTGGGCACCACTCACTTTGATTGGTTGAAATAATGTAAATTTGTTATCATATTAACTAATTAGTAGGCATGGTTCAATCGATATAAGGGGTACAAAAGTGGTTTAGGATATTTGAACCCTGACTTCCAAGAGTGAGATAAGAAGAAGAGTTTTTTAGACTTCTGAGATTTTGTAACTGTTCAACCACCACCCCCATAACTCCCTGACCGCAACACACGCTGCTCCTCCACTATCCTCCCTGTGCCAGAATTTTTCCATCCAAACAAAAGTTAAGCTAAGCACATGCTATTATACTCATTGTTTGTAATTGCGCAATGCAATTACGCCTCATGGCGCGCCTCAACTAATTCCTGGACTATGGCGTAAAAGGCATTGCATATGGCGCTGGGAGTGTGATGTACGCAATATTGCACTGAGGCGTACACAATATTGGATACGCAATAAGGCGCTCTGAGGCGTACGCAATAGGAGGTCAGGGTGTAAGAGTATTATTTGGGCCCACTCGGCCCACTTTTAAATTTTTATAATTAATCTTATGATCCCTTTTTCAAACCAGTAGTTATTGATTGAATTTTTCAGTCAATCAATCTAATTAATTTAAATTTTCATATCTTAGATTTTTGTTTTGATAAAGGATTCAGAATGTTTTGGTATTCTATGGTACTTTAAAGTTTGAACATGTTACTTTGCTTGGCCTCTTATGGTTTGATTTAATATAACATTTGATGACTTTTGATGAATATGTTTATTTTTTATTATGTTTATATATATATATATAATATATATATATATATATATTACGCCTCAGCTATACGCCTCATTGCGCAATGAGGCTTACGCAATATGCAATATTAAAAAAACGCCACGACTACGCAATTCGCAATTTCGAACCTTGATTATACTACCTCCAACTTTCCTTTTCCGGTTGTCCCAAACACTTCACCACTTTCTTTTTTATGTAATTCATTTGTGCATAAACTTCAACCACGCAGTTTTTACTTTATTCCATGCACCGGTCAAACTTTGCAAAGTTATTAGAGATTGTGGAACTCAAATCCTCTAAGCCACGTTTTGGGTACCACTCACTTTGATTGGTTGAAATAATGTAAATTTGTTATCATATTAACTAATTAGTAGCCATGGTTCAATCGATATAAGGGGTACAAAAGTGGTTCAGGATATTTGAACCCTGACTTTCAAGAGTGAGATAAGAAGAAGAGTTTTTTAGACTTCTGAGATTTTGTAACTGTTCAACCACCACCCCCATAACTCCCTGACCGCAACACACGCTGCTCCTCCACTATCCTCCCTGTGCCAGAATTTTTCCATCCAAACAAAAGTTAAGCTAAGCACATGCTATTATACTACCTCCAACTTTCCTTTTCCGGTTGTCCCAAACACTTCACCACTTTCTTTTTTATGTAATTCATTTGTGCATAAACTTCAACCACGCAGTTTTTACTTTATTCCATGCACCGGTCAAACTTTGCAAAGTTATTAGAGATAGAGGGAGTATTCCATATGGAGAAATGAACATCTACATGAGAACCGATAACTACATTTAGATAGCCTAATAAGAACCGATATTACATGTAATGGTTTTACACTAGTACTATGATAACTGACATGTAACATAACCACCATTACGGTGTTCAGTAACATAAAAAATCAAAATAGGCCCACACACTTACAGTTGAAGAAGAACCTGCAGCTTGCATGTTGTTGAGACCTTGATCATTCAGTTCAAGTTCAGTCTTATGCCTACAATCTTTAGTTTCAAGGTAGCAATAAACTTCCTTCAAAGAGCAAAAGAGTTGCCCACTCTCAGGATCAACATAATACTGGGCAAGTAGTAATACATTCATGAAAATAAAAAAAATAAGAAAATAAGAAGAAAAAGAAAAGTAAAGTAGCCAAACAAGGGCCAAAAATCAATACAAATAAGAATAGGCGAGACCATGTGTAGGATTAAGTTACCTGGTCTTTCCTAGTCTTGCCACACTTCTTCTTGATTCTTATTTCCTTGGTCCACCCTGGAGGTAAGCCCTCAACTACAGATTTCTTAACAACAGAATATTTTTTAGCAAGATATGAAATTAATAATATAAGAAAAGAAGCATGCTAGAAAGACCAAAAAAACCCATTTATATTTTATGTGTAGTATTTTAAATTACCTTTTGTCCACTGCCTTTCTTCTTCATCTCCTTGCTGATATACTGGAGAACTTCCACCTTAAAAAATTAAATTTATTGAAGGGGTCAGCGTAACACTATAAGTCTACAACAAACACGAGAAAGCACTATTTAGATGGTTAAATATACAATGTGGTAGTTTCCTGGATAGTCGAATAAAAAAGGAAAGAAATTAAATCATTTCTCTTTTTCATCATTTAATATGGAGAATTGGAAAAGGAAAGAAACTTATCATTTCTCCTTTTTATCATTTAATTCATTTGGAGAAGAAGAAAAGGAAAGAAACTAAATCATTTCTCTTTTTCATCATTTAATATGGAGGAGAAGAAAAGGAAAGAAACTAAATCGCTTCTCTTTTTCATCATTTCATACGGAGTAATCTGTATCGAGATTGAAAATAGGAAGGTTGGTTAATAAACCTACATTAAAAAGAAGTACTTAATAAGCCATTTGACATGAAAATTTTAAATCTAGTGTTTCTCTTCACCTTCAACTTACTCTGCTAGTTTGCTCTTGTATGTAAGAATTACAGACCCACAGAAAATACAACAAAGGATTAAATCCCAGAATAAGAGAGTCAGCTAAGCAAAATCACAAATGGGGGGGGGGGGGTCATAAGTACTTGTGGGCAATGAAAAAGAACTTCCAATCATGTCTTGAACATTATATCTTTTTCTTACCACATACACTTAACATATTTTAAACATATAGTTATTTTTCTCACCAGACTCTCTCTTGTGTAGTTAAGTTGAACTAAACTGACCTAAGGAAAATGCAAGAGTCTGGTGGCTTTAGGATGAAGATGAATAAAGTCAAATTGTCTCCCAAGCGAACCCATTATTTCAAACAGGGCAACCAGTCAGGCTAATGTGTTGAGGTGAGATTACTTAGAACAAATCTTGCATCAAACTGACAGAACTGTTAGAATTAAGGACTCGGACTTATCAAGATTAATAATTTCATCAAATCTCCAACAAGAAGTACAATAAAAAAATTGAAACTTTTGCTAATAATTATTACTAGCAGTCTAGCATGCATGAATTATTTTCTTTGATAATCCACGCCATCCACTGATATAGACCGTATAGTCACTAACCCACAACAATTATAAGTTCTTAACGATAAATCCACAACAATTATAAGTTCTTGACGATAAAACCACTAATTACTCCGGGAAAAAATACATCAATGGCGGTCTAAAATAAGAATGTATGCATAGAGGTGGGGTGGGGTGGGGTAGCACCGTAGCAAAAAAGAAAGAAAAAATTAACCACTTTGCCTTTCTTTCCACACATCAACCTTGCTCTCACATCCATTTTCCAACCTGCAAGAAGCTAATTCGGCAAGCACGCTTTCTTCCCTTTACATTTTCCTACCAACCTCCACACAGAAATAACTATTCCCCGGGAGAAATGAAAAACCCACCAAGCAAGAAACACAAAGAAAGGAACTTTATGCTCACCAGAAGCTTGACAACGACGACTCGTCTCAGCGTATCTTATCTGGGCTCAGCAGAAGAAGAAAACTGAAATACACCCAGCAGGCGAGGGGGGAGTAGAAAATGCAACTGAAGAGCGTGGGGACTGGGGAGGTTGAAATACTGCTGAGGGTGGGGGTGGGGTGGGGTGTAGAAAATGTAACGGCAGAGCGTTGGGGGGAGGGGTGATTAAAAGCGGGCGAGAACAGCAAGCATATGAACGAGTTATCCGTGTTGTATTATCAAGTCCATAATGATTACCTTTTACTAAATTTAAGAGTGTAGAGACTAAATATGATGTGTAGAGACGGAGACACCCTTAATACGGAGTAAGAGACGGACAATTGTAAAAGGTCTCTTTAGAGTTTAGACACAACAATAGTCGGATTGTGAGTTCAAAATCTCGGATAATCCAATTCAGCATTCGAAGACAATTTAGTCACAAAAGAGTGGGTAAAAAATGTGAACTCCTCAACTCAACTTGCAAGAGATGATAAAAGTTCATATACTACTACCGTTTCTAAATTAACTTTTAAAGTATATTTGGCACGGAGATTAAGATATTGGTTATTGTGTGATAGAGAGTTATGCATAAGAGAGAAAAGTGTGTAAGAATGTGTAAGAATTGATGGAAATCACAAATTCTTTATAAAAAAGGGAAAATATAGTTTATTTTGGGACGACGAAAAAAGAAGTTTGAAAGTTTAATTAGGGACGGAGGGAGTAATATTAGTGATTAGAATTCCTCAGATTTTTAACATATTTTCTAGGAAGATGAAGTGGGATGGGGACCAAGAAAAAAAAAGTTTAACACATACAGAGACTATAATACTTTTTAATATTTATTGGAATATTCATTGAAGTTGTGGATAATGAGACTGCAAAGTATAAAATTTATTACTGATAGGATCTACATATATA